GCGCGCAGGCTCCTGCCCGGGGCCGCCCGGGCGGTCCCTTCCCTGCCCCCGGCGCTCAAGCGCGGCGCGGCGCGGCGCTGGGGGAAGATCAGCTGCGGCGGGGCCAGGGCAGGGCTCGGCAGGACCCGGCTGCAGGTAGGGATAGGGATGGGGATGGGGATGGGGGCTCCGCGGGGCGGTGGGTGCCGTCGGGGCCGCCCCCGCGTCCTCCCCACGCTCTTGTCAAGCCTGCAGGTGTTGAAGGCTGCGACACGGCAGGGGGCCCGGCCGGCGGAGCTCTGCACGCTTTGCTGGGTACATGCAGCGAGCCCCGCTGCCCGCTTTCTCTTCCTCCCGCGGGCTAACGAGTAACCGGGTGCCAGCGAGGCCCGGCAGCTTCACCGCCTTCCAGCCCAGGTGCCGAGAGTGCGGCTCTGCCCCGCGGGCAGCGCCTGGTTGAGCGCCCAAGTTGTCTCGCGCCTGCGCTGCCTGGTCCGGCTTTCCCAGAGAGAAAATTTGGAAAGGCATTTGTATGGGGTTGGGGGGAAACCCACCTTTGTGCCGCTCCGTGAACGCAGCCCCTGTTTTGCTGTGCGGTTGGCGCCCGCCTGAGAGACCCTGGGGATGAAGCTTGGTTTCTTGTGCCGTTCAGCGCTCTGGTTTGAAGCTCTTGGAGGCGTCCGATTGTTTCTCAGCTGGGCCACGGGCCGTGTTGCTGGTACTGGTGACTCGAGCGAAAATTCCCACCAGCGCGTGGCGAAAGTCCTCGTCCACAAGAGGAAAGCGCACGAAATAACGTGGGTGCTGCGTGTGTGTTTGGAAGTGGCACTTTTTTGGTTTGGGTCAGGCCTGGTTTGCATCAAAATAGAAGTTTTGGCACCGGTATATGCAAGAACAAAGTTGTTTTCAAAGTGTATTTGGTGGAATCGGTGTGGTTTCTCCAGTTAAAACCAAAAAGCCCCCCCCAAAAAACAAGCCAACAAAAGGCTGTCATTTTCTGAATCTCTCTCTACACCTCCTTAATAGAAATGGCTTAACTTTTTTTGGATACGTCCTCAATGTAACACTGAAGTCAAGGGAGTTAGGGGTGCCCTTATTTTAATTAATGCCAATTGCTTGTTGAATCCTGTGTGTAGTAAGGCAATTTTCTGCAGGAAATAGATATATCTGTCTTGGCCGTTTACATTATATTGCAGTGTATTACCTTGTGAGATACCTGCCTTGGGTGACTTTTTTCCTCTCTGAGAATTGGATATCAGTATGAATGGGTGGCCTGGGTGTCAGAGTGCATAAATGAGTTGTACTAATTGCCCTAAAATGAAAAACAACAGCGGCAGCACAACAAAGCTCATCTTATAAGACATTAAAATGGCCTGTGAATGTAAGTGCAATAGCCCTTAATATTTTCAAGACCTGTGAGAAGTAATAACACTTGGAATATAAGTGGGGTGGGGATCATTTTCCCCCCTCCTCACCCAGGACCCTCAAAACATTTCTGGTGTTTAAAATTTTTATTTTATTTTATGTTGTCTTACGGTGAGAGAGAAGCTGTAGGATCTTTATGTTAAGACACTGGTGATTAACCTGTCTAGAGAAAGCACAAATGTAACTTAAATCCCTCATGTCTCTCACTGACTATCAGTAAAAGTTTGCCACCTAAGTGGTACTTAAAAATCTTCCCCTCTTTGACCAATGAACAGTACATTGAGAGAGGATTAGTAGCATTGCCTCTCCGGGCAGTCAAAGTAATTATCACTCTACCTGGAATACAGTCAGTGTTGGGTTTTTTCCAGTGCCTTTCACATTTGGCAATATAAGCAACCAGTTTCCAACTAATTGAACTGATGAAATTTCCTGTACTTGACTGATGGCCAGGACACACAATTACATCAAATGTACTTGTTTGGACAAGACATAAGATTGCTGCTTTGGGGTTTGAAGGTTAAAAACAATGGGAACTTGCCATTGCCTTCGGTGGGATCTGGGAAACTTTGTCTTCAGTACAGCCTGGGTTTGAACAGAAGTTTGAGAGAAGCAATGCCCTTTGTCTGTAATACAGTCATTCCACTTTGCCTGGTCTTCCCCTGTCCTCCTCTCAAAAGTAACTTTGTACATGGCATCTGAAAGCTGTGCTAAGGACAGGAGGTGGTGGGAGGGTGGGAACAACCTTTAAGCCACAACAACTTCAGTGTGGTTTGAGCTACTGTTTGCTTAGTTGTTTGTCAGGATTTATCAGTCTCTACAGCTCAGCCTTGTGTGGCAACCTGAGCTTGGCTTGTCACACAAGTTTAGGATGTCCTATTTTCAGGATGCAGGCAAAACCTTACATGAGCAGATATACTGGGCACATTTACACATGCACTTGAATGCGCTTTTCCTAATGCGCATTAAATTGAGTACCGCCAATGTGAGGTACTAAAATGCTCATTCAGCTGCCCTAATGCACCCTAGGAAAAGCACATGCTTTTTTAGCGATGCTTAATGTACAGCAGACTATTTGACTACACAGTAGCCGATTTGCACGGTGTTTTATGAAATGCTTTAATGTGCAGTAAAATAGGCTACTGCACATTAAAGCGCACATGTAGACACGCCCACTGTATACTTATCTTTGCCTCAGAGGGTGGGCAGCTGGTAATATTGTAGCTGTGGACGTTTGCTGCTGCCGTCTCTGGGTTCTTTTCCGTCAGTGCCAAGTGTAGTTGCACTCTCACTTTCTTGGTAGTTGCTTTGCGGTAGTCTGGTTATCCCTCTTTTATTCAAGACTGGCTTAGTTTACTGGAGGATAACATGC